ACATGCTAACATTGCAATTTTAAATCCTAGTCCAGACAAGACCTATATTGGAACAAATCCTAGACCCCTAGCATCTTCCTGCATGCTGTACACCAAGACCACTCAAACCTTTGCAATGCAATTGAGGACAGAATGGCAATCCATGCTCCAAAACTACTGACTCCTACAACAGGGGCTGAAGAAAAGTCTGCTTTAGTGGCCAGGAGTATTAAGTCCATAGTACACAATTAACCAGTTGGGATTGCAAGATATTTTACAGCCAGCGTGTATTTTAGTTCTGGTATATAGAATTCATGTAAACTATGTTTTAGTTATATAGACAATCGGGGTTTTTAACTGAGCAGGAAAAGGCTAAATATTGCCCTAGAAATGGATTTGGTATGACATTGTCATCATTCAAGTGTTACCGTGAAGCTGTGGCACTTAGTAATGAGGAGAAGGAAACTGACTAGAAATATATTACCTACTTTATATAAAAATGTTGCCCTACATAATGCAGCATACATGAAGCCAACCCATGCTAATGCTAAAATACTTGCACTTCAATCGCACCTTTTAACTCAAAGAGCTTTAAACCACTCAAGCCCACAACACTTCTATGAGATGGGCAAGTGCTACACCCTACTTTGCTCAGATGAGAAATCGATGCAATAGGGGAAATTTAAGTACTTGGCCCAAGGTCACACAAAGTCAGTGGCACAGCCAGCAGCAGAACCCAGGAGTCCAGGCGCCTGCTCCAACTGCCAGACCAAATTGTCTCCCTGTCTGACCTACACTGTGCATTCCTGCCATGCTAGACAAAATAATACAGCATAGCAATGGTTAACAATGGTTAACAATTCCCTCAGCAACCTCTCAGATACTCATTCAAGCAAAAGAAAGAACTAGACTAGCAGGCATATGCCAGCTATTCTGCAGCCAGCCCATTCTTCTTTAAATTCAACGTCTCAAAAAAGCTAGCAATTTTTCCCATGATCCCAGAGGCAGCCACCAAAATAGCTGTCCTCTTGATCAGCCTGAGCCAACATGAGGAAGAAGATTCATTGGCCTGGATTGTTGGCATTAGCGCCAGCCATTTCCTTAACTACATTAAGTAAATTTTCTCCTTAATGAGACTGCCATGGCCACAGGAAAACACAGAGGTTCTTTGATCGGGAGTTTAACAAGTGTTTACTAATTTGCACCTACAGCCTAAACAAGACACATTTTGCTGCAAACTGTAAGCCAGGTTTCCAAAGAGCTCAGTTCCCATTCAGGCACCTCAATGAAGAGGACAGAATTGCAAGTGTTCTGCACCCAGCAGCTCCCACTGAGAACCAGTGGGAGCTGAACTCATCTCAAAACTTGCCCTTGTGAGTCAATTGGTCTTCTCTTACCACTGATTGCTAAGCAGAAGTCCCCACTGAAATCAATGAGGTACGATATGAGGCGACAACGGCACGATGTGGTCCTAATATAACAAGATTTCTCCCAGATATATTGAGTAGTAACATTTTATTTTTAAATGCACATTAAATAAAAGCATAGTCCTTAACTACCAATGAGTAGTTATAAATACCTAAGATAAACACACAGAAAGATGGGGTTCTCTTTTTTCTCCTTGGGTTACTGATCTTGTTATATACATGCCCCTGGCCTACTGCGTGTTGAGAAACATAAGTGCCGGGCTTCTAGTCAGGCCTGCGTCTCATACATAGCAGTGCAGAGCTACCGCTGGCTCAGTTGTAGGTGAGCATCAGGAGGAGGGAAAGCCACAGTTCACATTACAGCTTCGAGCTGCTACTGAGCTCCTCCCTCAAGATCTTACCAAGGCCCTCTAGCAAAGGGAGGACAATTAAACCCTCATTATTTCTGAAGTGGAAAAAAAAATATGGACGATAAACACCACCTGAAATCATTTTTAAAGCACAGATAAGCAGTTAAGGGCAAACATTATATGATACACACAGACATATACTGGGTACCTGTAGACATATTTGCTTTGAGTTCCCTTTAAGTATCCATGATCATACCCCTACTATTGCTCAGAAATAAACCAACCTCATCTAATTTTAATTTCAATTGCACCTTATATTTTAAACTTTTATTTAAAGAAACATTTAATCTACTATTAACAGTGCAGGACAATACTCTGTGAGCGTCCCTTTCTCCTACTCTAGCAGCCTCCACGATGTGTTTGGAGAACTCCAAGGAGGCTGCTTTCTCAGTATTACTAGTACTTATATAACCCTTTCACCTGCCACCAAGATCTTAGAATACAGAATATTAATTAAGACTCAGAACATTCCGATGAGGTAGGCAAGTAGTTTTATCCCCAGGTTTTAGAAGAGGAATATACAGGCTCAGAAAGTTAGGTGACTCGCCTAAGTCTGTGAGTCAGTAACAGAGCTGAGAAAAGAATCTCTTCATCCTGATTGCAAATCAAATTTTTAAGTTCAGCGGCACATAGTTTCTAGCTCTGATATAAACTAGAATAAATTCTGTTTTTTAAAAGGATCTGATAGATATCAGACAGGATGAGAATCTGCTGAGTAGGAAGCCAAAGAGGAAGAAGAAGAAGAAAACACCACACAATACAGGATGCAACAACTGAAATACACACATATACACACAGCATCCCTCAGGCCTTAAACCAGGGCCACTGCCAAGTGTTAACATAACTAACTCCACCCTCTTCTGCAGCACTAATTTGGAAATTCCTGACAATTATGGGGACTGCCTATTCGAGTAAAGCACGCAGGAATCAAAGAAATCATTGACAAATTGTTCAGATATCTTGGTCACTGGATACCACTAAATCATAGCCTGACATTTAGAGTCCTTTTCAAATTGTTACTCTGAGCACTGAACTGTTTCCTGTGCCTGCTTTTGGAAACTTACTGAAAGAGCAGAACAAGGATTTGAGAAGCCCTCACAGTTTAGTGCCAATGAGGCAACAAATCCTTCATGATCCTAAGTATTTTAATGAAAAGTGATTTGGGAGACCTGGAAAGAGTGGTCATTTTTTCTCCATTCTCCCCATGCCTCCATTAACGAGTGCAACCCTGACAGTTAATTTCTGCTCACTCGCTGAGAAGCGTCCGTATTTATCTGCAACAGGAAAGGTGGCACTTCCTGTGGGCCCTAGATTCAAGCAACAGCTGGATAAAAGCCACCACAAACCCTTATACAGACTAGACTATAGTGCATTTGACCTAAAAACAGGGATCATTAAGTATATCCCATGTTTTATTTAAAAACGTAAGTCTATTGGCAGAATATTTATAAGACCGCAGCATACCACTAATCTCTTACTAGTACAAGATGGCTTTTTAGAAATACAACATGTGGATGTTTATATACTACTAATCTGCAGGAATTCAGATGCTACAATGATGGAAGCAGTGTCAGAATCTAAATAGGGGCTCAAACCCGCAAGGACTGTACACGTGCTTAAAGTTAAGCATGTGCTGAAGTGCTTTGCTGGATCAGGGCCAAAGCGCTACACCCATTGCAGGATCGAGTCCTAGAATAGTCTGCATCATCAAACTGCATCATCTCTCATTTTAAAAGCCTACACCTGACAACTCTTTACTCTCCTGAGCATACACAAGGCCCAATTCAGCCTGGGCATAAGCTGCTGCAGCTCTTCCGAAGTCAATGGAGTTGTGTCAGCTGCAACCAGGGCTGAATTTGCCTCTTGGTCTTTAACAACCTCTCAGTCCTCCAGCCTCCTCCAGCTTCACAAAGTCCCCACCCCCTCTCAGGCCCACTTCCCCTGGTATCTTGAGGAGCAAAGCCAAGTCTCCCACACAGCTGTGCACCGCACTATACCTGGGGCAGCTCAAATATTCTGCAGCATTAGTGTGACATTGTGCTGGTGAAAGATGCTAAAGGTCAACAGTCCCTGAGCCTGAATTCCTCTGCTTATCTCCAGAACAGGCAGCAGCAGGGCCAGCTTCCCCCACACAGGCAATTCAACCCTAATGTGCAAGAACTCCTCATATGTTCAAAGGGGAGCTCATAATCCATATCCATTCAATCCTTAACCTCTCTAATTCGGTGTAAAACTGAAGTTCCATTTCTCCAAATGACTCCTCATCCAACGCGCTCTCTCTGCCCTCTTCTCCTCCCACAACTCTAGAATTTGCCAAAGTCTTTCCCCAGACATCCCACTTTGATTGCTTCAACTACTTGCATCTTCATACCTTCTGTCTCAGACATGTCAATCCTCTCCTTTAAGAAGAAACTGAAAACCCTCCCATTCCACTGCAATAACCATGTAGCACATGCATGGCTCCTGTTTATATTGTACTTAAGTCTGTAGTTCCTCAGGATAGGGATTCTTTTGGCTGGCGCACACACAAATGACATGGGGATGCACACCAACCAAGCAGCACTGTATAAACGGGATCGTAATAGTCTGCAAAGATTGCCATTTGCCAACCATCATGGGGGGTTTTATGACACGGGTGTGTTTCCACTGGGAAACAGAATGTCGATTCTTTGCTTATTAAAAAAAAATTGTTAATTCAAATTATGCTTTTAAAACTGTTTTCCTTTATTAGCTACTCTTCAACTCCACCCAGTTCAATATGAGTAAGGAATACAAATTGATCAGTGTAGCTTTGTACCAGAACACCACCATAGTGTTAGTGGACAACGGGGTGAACAGAGTTTATTCACGATTAGTTAAAAGCCCGTCCTGACCTGAGTTCCCCCAAAATTCTGAGGGTGTTTGGATTTGAGATTTCAGTTCAAGCCCATCTTTATCATCATTTAAAAAAGGAGGAAAATGAAATGTTGCTGCTCGAAGGATGAAAGCCCTTAAAGGAAATACAGGCTTATGACTTATACACTCTGTTTTTGCACCAATTTAATTAACTGACACAAGCTGAACAGATACAGCTTTAAAGATAGCAGATTTCCTACCCAGTTTGTAAAAGGCAAATCACTGCCACATTCTCTTTTGTTAACACGTACCTGGAGCTACCCCCATTTCTCTCTACCAGTGACCTTACCTCTTCCTCCAGTTTCACCACCTTGGCCTGAGCATTGTTTAAGGCCTGATCACGGATCTCAATGTGCCTTCGCTGATCCTCACTGGTGGAGCGTGCAGCAGCTAGTTCTATCTCCAGTTTCTCCTTCTCCCTCTGTGTTTCTTTATCTATAGAAATAAAGTGGGAAATGTAAAATGGATGGAGCTTTCCTTGACAGACGTCTAGGAGTGGGGCATTCCCCTAAATTCTACCCGTGATCAAGAAGGAGAGGGTCTTTGCTGACAGCTGCTTGCTCTCTAAAGAAGGGAAAAGGCAGACATCTCTCTATATACAGAGGGACAGAAATAATGGATTGCCGAGAAAAATATGTTAAATTAGGTCATTTATCTTACCCTGATTAGATAGATGGCTAAGAGGACAGAGCACCTTTTATCTCTAGCTCACTGGTTTAAAATCAGAAAACAAGCTAACCTGGTAACATCACTGCTTGCTGGCTGGGTGATGGCAGGGGTGCAAAGGGGAGCTGTCCGGCTTAGGGCCATAATGTAACCTTTGCTTTTGTGACTCCCTATTCTGTCATTTTTAAATTAATCTGTAAATACAGAAATATAAATAAATACCATGGCAGCTCACTGACCTCAGTTCAGTTCCCGACGGGCAAGTGTCTTCACTACTGAAGCACCACCCCAGCAGCCCCCTTTTCAGACATTTTCAGAGGGGCCAGGCAATGAATGAGCAATGAAAGCTCATCTCTTCTCTGTCACCCTTAAAAGTGACACCCCAGGTGGGGACTGGGGCACGTTGGCCTGCACTGTCACTGGTCCAATTGTACCCGTGCTTTGGTTACATAAGGAATTCACCTTCTAAGGCATCACCTGGCACCATTTGCCAGCACTGTATGCCCTTGCCAGTTGTTTACATTGGATGAAGAACTGATGCTTGATACAGGAATTACTGGGTGAGGTTCTAGGCCTGTGTTGCACAGGAGGTCAGACTAGAAGATCATAATGGTCTTTTCTGGCCTTAAAATCTATTGAATTGTTTGGATTTCAAATTTAACATTGCTATTTGATGGTTTCTCATCTCTTGATGCAGGGATTAGTTGGCTCAGATAACACTGCTAGCGATGAGGCACACAGACTGCAAGCTTGGACTTCAGGTTTTTAAATCTTTTCCGGAAGCAGATTCACTTGGGCTATTGGTACAATTTTACAGGTTTGCTTCCTCTGCCCTCTCAAGTGTTTATTTCAGTCCCGACTGTATTTCCCTTCAATTCTAACCTCATCAGGTCCAATTCATACTGTGAGAATCCAAGCCACGCTACTGGTGTCTCAGCTGGACAATGGGTGGTGTCCAGATTTACACACCCCCACAAATGCCAGAAGCAAACGCACACACTGTCATCCTACCATGGAAACAGCCAAGTCAAGACAAGATCGACTGGAATCTACTCCATGCTCATTGACTGCTCCAGTTAGGTTGCCATCCGTCAAGAGCTGAACTTCACGAATGCCTCAGAATCCATGCAGTTACACTGCATGTTCATTCACAGAAGAAGTAAACAGGACAAAATCAGGGACAGGGAAAATATAATGCAAGTGTGTAAAGCAAACCTATAAATGAGCAAAGCAAGAGAGCTGAGCGGCCGTGCTTTCTGCAGAGTCACTGAAGTCCTCAGCAGAAGCCAATTACTTGCACTGGTAACATTAATTCAACTTCAGAATGCACCCCTGCAGCAATCTACATTTGGCATTGAGGACACCAGAGAAACTGCATTCCAAAAACTAATATCTCATGCAAAGGAATGAGGACAAGCGGTGGAAGTTTTTGAAAAACAGATGCCAGACCTTAGCTGTTAGTATAGACAGTGTGTGGTGTACACCAGCGTATAAATATATCTACAGGTGCAGAGCGGTTTCCATTCTTCCACCAGAAAAGAGCCACGTGTGGAGTGTTCGCAGCATAGAGCGGCTACAAACTCCCTTCTGTGAGGGGACCAGAGCAGCCCAAAAAATGGTTGCTGTGGCCGGGAGGGAGCATGGCTAGGGCAGCCAAGAAGAAGCATGCCAATGCAGCACATTCCCCACGGGGGCAGCCTCTGAAGTGGGGCTGTTATGGACCCCTGATTGCAACCTTAAGCTGGCTTCTGCTGGCAGAAACACGTGGGACAACAGGTGGCAGCAACACCACCTGCCCTTCCGTAGGTGATTCTTTCCTACAGCCCAAGGATCACATCAGGTGGTACTGCAGGTTTAAATCACAGCCTGGAGGACTGTAACCTACAGATTCACACCTACAGGGCCCAATTCTGCTCCCAAAGTCAATGGCAGTTTCGCTACTGACTTCAGTGAGAACAGGATCCAGCCTGTATAATTTATGCAGACAGACATCTCACATGAGCTATGGTACACCTCTATATATCAAGCAATAAAACACAGCATTTCTCTCCTCTTGTACTTTTATCTCAACATCTATTAATCCAGTTTAAAAAAACAAACTCATCTCACAACTAAGTAGACTTCCCAATACCATCTTCAGGGATTTACATGGACAGCTAAGCCCTGTGACTTCAAAGCCACATACTCACAACATGAATGGCTAAGTGAACAGAGGTAGATTGAGGACAGCACAAGGGAGGGATTTCAGCACTGCAAAGAAGGAGAAGCAGAGTGTATTGCACCACAGCAAATCCTCTTTATTTTGCAATTTTATCTCTCCCTCTCTCTTTTTTTAAACACATTACATAACACAACTGGAAAGAAGCAAGCATTGTCAGAAGGGTGGAGTGCACCATGGAATTAGGAGGAAAGTTGACTCACTGCCATAAGCCGCAAGATATTTCAGTACGGGGAAAGGCAAAATTTCACACCTGCAATTTTGGTTTGCCCTGTGATGGATCCACTGCTCTGGACATAAGTCATGACCCTTGGGTATCTCTGCCCAGCCCAGCAGAATAGAGGCAGAGCTCCTCCTTTTTATTCTTTTAGACTAAAAGTTCTCCCTGCCAGCATCTTTGCTAAACTGATCATGCCAATGAGCGACTGTCTGGGAAATAGCTGGGGGATCCACAGCCCTGGATCTCAACTTAGCTCCTCGTCTGCCCTTGCCTCCTTCCAAGCCCTTGCCCATGTGAGGTATCAGAATTCCACCCTATGCATGGAAGCACACTCATGTTAAGCCGCTCACCACCTGATAGGATTTACCCTGTAAGCAGGTTGCTTTGTGTTTGTAGGTTAGCAGATGTATTTTATGTGCTGACAGAAGGAGAAACCTGAATTCAACTTCTTCTTGCACTGGTAGTTTCAGAGACTCTCTAATATGCCCTACATCACAGTAATATCTGAGTGCATGACAAGACAGACTGATATGGAGTACACGACACCGCCTAAGTGGAGGATTTTTCACAGCCTGAATGGCACATTTTTCCTAGACCACAGTAAACCTCTGACTCACTTTGTGCAAAGAGCTGAGAGATGGTTTTCCGATTGTCCTCAGATCCCTCAAATTCCTTCTCAGCAAGCTGCTTGTTGGCCGTCTCCATACGCTCTGCAGAATTTTTTTTGAAGAGGAGAAACAACAAGAGAATGAAAAACTTTCAGAAATGCTCTTAAAATCACTAAGTGAGTTGCATCTACTCCGGACATGTGTAAAAACAAGTTCTATGCAAAGGACTCCTGGTTCTAAACAATGTGAAACAAAAGGCTGGATCAGAAACTGAAGGGGCAGTTGCTTTCGCAACATGTACAGATGCTGTTTAAATATTTCTAGCTACAACACTCTTGGGGAATATTTTAGAGAATTCAATGGGGGATGAAGCTAACAGAATTCTACAGAAATTACTCTAAAAATCTATGTTGCACTGCAGTGTTGTTGTAGCTATGTTGGTCCCAGGATATTAGAGAGACTGGGTGGGTGAGATAATATCTTTTATTGGACCAACTTCTATTGGGGAGAGAGACAAGTTTCGAGCTTACACTGAGCTCTTCTTCAGGTCTCTCTCTCAGATTACCTCACCCACCTTGTCTCACTAAAGTTCTATAACATGTAAGCGTTTAGAAAAAAAATTAAAAAATCACAAGTGTGTTGAACCATCCTATGGAATTTTATCCCCGGGATATAATTTTCTTTTAAATAATACAGAATGACTCCAAAAACCTATAGAAAGGATATCATTTTTTAAAATTAACTTCCGCCACGGTATGTAATTCTCTCGCAATCCTCCACTAAATCTTCTGGGCAGAAGTTGAAAAACTATAAGCCCTAGTGGCCTGATCTCTGATTACCTGACTTTCCAGAAAAATGAATAACCCTAATAGTAAGTGTATCAACATTTGTCTCTTGAAACAGCAGAGCTAACAAAAGGCTGTATCAGACTTAGGACACGTATATTAATTGCTTATGATGTCTGATTTGCTGGGAAAAGAGGTTAGTTTATTTATTACAAGCTTCTGTACGTCACCCTCCACTGTAGTACTAGGCACTATGCATTTTAAAACCTACACTGGTGAGTCTCAGACTCAGGCTCGCGCTACAGCGCTAAAACCAGCTGGGTAGAGGTTTGAGCTCGGGTTCTGAAGCCTAGGGAAGCCTTCAGAACCCAAGCTCCAGCCCGAGATGCAACCCAGGCTCTGAGAATGGCTGCTGTGGGTTTTTAAAACCCTAGACATACCCTACGTGACGTTAGACCGAGACAAAATATTTCCCATTCTCCCAAGTCACCTGGCTTTAAATGGTTAGAGACCATGAGGACAGCGACAGCAGATAACACACAGGGGAACCAGAAAGCTTTTATAGAAAAGGCTGAATTAGTTAAAATTATTCTGAGTTTATGTTTCTAAAACCACAAGCTGTTTTCTCCCTTTGAAAATTAAATGCTTAACCATTGCCAATCTAGGCTCGAACACCATTCGCTGACAGCCTTGATTCCCAGCCACGGTACTGCTGCAACTTCTTACCAAGAGCCAGATACTACTAAGGAAATACAGACAGCATCTTGCCCTGGAAGGGAAAGGGGAGTCTGAAGGAAGAGCTGCCTGGATTGATAAGGAATGTTAAGTGCAAAGGGGTCACTGGACAGGACATGAATGTCAGCATTCATAGTTTCACACTGGCACTTGAATAAAATGTTTTTAGAATACAACGTGAGAAATAGCCCCAGGATTATATCCTGGGATAGAGTTTTGGCTTGTCACTATCTTTCTGTTTCCTTAATGATTAACAGGCTGAAAGTTAGATATTGCAGTAATCAACCGAACCTCACCTTTCTACACCCCCAGCATTCTGCTGGCAACACTAGACAGTTGAGAATACCTGGAGTATCATGTCATGCTCTGTAAGCGGATCAGCCATAACAAGTGAATCACAAAGGAAAACAGACCAGTACAAAAGAATTTATTTAAACAGACATTTTTAATGTTTTACCTCTCAAATCCCTGTTGAAATCATGAAGCCTACGAATTTCTCCTTCAAGCTTATTTCTCATAGCCTTTTCCAGGGCATCCCGCTTAGAGGAGGACTTCTCCAGGTTTTTATATGCTTCCGAAACTTGCTGAATTTCTGTTTCCAGCTGCAGAGCAAATTAAAGCATCCATTTCCTTTAGCATTAACAATGCCTGGCACTTAGGTAGCATCTTTCTTCTGAGGTTCTCAAAGCGCTTTATTGAACAAAGATTTATTAAGCCTCAAGTGAGGGAAAGCATGATTACAGCCATGGTACAGGTGGGTAAAACTGTGACACAAAGCGGTTGTGACGTACCACAGGTCACACAGGGAGTCAGCAGCACAGCTGGACATAAAGAGCTGGAGTCCTGTCTTCCAGGCCCTTGCTCTTGATTACAACAGTCAGTGCGTGGAAACAGTTACTTGAAAAGACAGAAACGCCCTTTTGCAGGTGTTGATGCTGGGGCCTGGGAGCAGGGGCACAACTACCCACCATGAGGTTGGTCCAAAAGCAATTTCATAGAAGGACTTTGATGCAGATGGAAAAAAAATAAAGCCAAAGAACAAGCAAAGCAGATAAATAAAAATTATATTTTAAAATATTAATACCAAACTGTAAATTACTGATGTGCTTTGCAGATTTGTATTTATTTACGGGATAACAATCCACCGCGGGTACTAAACCCTTCTATTGTGTATGTTCTACTTACAAATCTTCAATCTAATTAATAAATAACAATAATACCCAACTCATAGATAGTGTTTTCATCAATAGATCTCCAAGAGATTTACAATGGAGGTCAGTATCATTATCCTCATTTTACAGATGGGGAAATGGAGGCACAGAGCAGTGATGTGACTTGCCCAAGGTCCCCCAGCAAGCCAGTGGCAGAGCAGAGAACACAGCCCAGGTCTCCTGAATCTTAGTCTAGTATCCTATCCACTAAGGGCATGTCTACAGTGGCACTTTGTCGGCAAAACTTTTGTTGTTCAGGGGTGTTAAAAAAAGCACACCCCGGACGACAAAAATTTTACTGACGAAAAGCGTCGGTACGTACAGCACTTTGTCGGCAGGAGCGCTCTCCTGCCGACAAAGCCGCTGCCACTCCTCGGGGGTGGAAGTTTTTTGTTGACAGGAGAGCTCTCTCCTGCCGACAAACAGCAGCTACACTGTGGCTTTTAGCGGCACAGCCGTGCCGCTAAAACAGGGGTGGGCAAACTACGGCCCGCGGGCCACATCCGCCCACAAGCCGTTTTAAGCCAGCCCACTCTGGCGCTCCAGCCGGGGTGCTGGGTCGGGGGCCGGACCATGAGGCTCGGCCCCTCTCCGGTGCTCTGGCTGGGGTGCTTGGTCTGAGGTGCTTAGTCTGGGGTGGCCCTGTTCCGGCTGGGGCACTGGGTCCGGGACCGCACCACGCGATTCGGCCCCGCTCCGGCCGGGGTGCAGGGTTGGGGGCCGCACCACGCAGCTCCTGGAAGCCTTGGCATGGCCCTTCTCTGGCTCCTATGTGCTCCAATGGGAGCTGCAGGGGCGGTGCCTGCGGATGAGGCAGCATGCAGAGCCACCTGGCTGCGCCTTTGGGTAGGAGCCAGAGAAGGGACATGCCACTGCTTCCGGGAGCCACTTCAGGTAAGCACCGCTCGGAACCTGCACCCCTGAGCCTCTCCCCACGTCCCAACCCTCTGCCCCTGCCCCAGCCCTGATCCCCCTCCCGCTCTCCACACACCTCGATCCCAGCCCCACCCCAGAGCCTGCACCCCCAGCCGGAACCTGCACCCCTTCCCGCATCCCTGCCGCAGCCCTGATCCCCCTGCCACCCTCCGAACCCCTCAGTCCCAGCCCAGAGCAGCCTCCTACACCCCAAACTCCTCATCCCTAGCCCCACCCCAGAGCCCGCACCCCCTCCCACACCCCAACCCTAATTTTGTGAGCATTCATGGCCCGCCATACCATTTCTATTCCCAGATGTGGCCTTCGGGCCAAAAAGTTTGCCCACCCTGCGCTAAAAGTTGCGTAGTGTAGCCACAGCCTAAGAGACACAGCTCTGAAAAGAAACCAGACTATTTGGTCAGTCGTCATTTAACTTCAATTTACAGAGTCTTGAAGCCACAGTCATTTAAACAGTAAAATATAGCTTTCCCCATCCCCTCTCACTGTACAGCCTCTTGGTTTGACGTCTAAGCAGGAAACTGCTCACCAGAGACAGAAGCCAATTCATTTCTAGTTCTCCAAAGCAGGCAGGACATGTTAATCTCACTTTGGCATTAACAATCCACCAAACAGCAGACCTCACCAGACCTCCTTGGGCAAGAAGTTGCTTGGAGGGGTGAGGGAGGGGAGGAAAGAGAATTCCTTTATCCCTTGTTATCAGGAAGCTGTCAAACACTTCACTGAAACACTTCCCTCACTGGAACCTTCCTAAAACCAAACAAACCAACCTGGGCAGAAGTCATGCTGGGAATAAGCAGCCGTGGGAAGAAACAGCAAACACAGGAACTCAGACATGGTACGAGAAACAAGAACAACTAGGTAAAAGTTACAACAGCCAGGCACTTCAAGGGCCTTGCAGGCTGTTCAGGGGCCAAAGTGCAGTTCAAGGCCCAAAAAGAGATTTGCAGAGTCCTGAACTGCAGCCAGTGCTCATCTTCTCTCTACATCTGCAGGGGAAAGGGAGAGCTGACTGACCAGCTGCAGGTTCTAATTGCTGGTGAATTCAGTAACCAACAAGCAATTTATTTTTGTTTATCTATCAGGCGAGCACAACTACAAACACACACTCCTTTTAAGAATTATAAAAGCCATACGTGGCAGTGTGATGGCGAGGGCTGTCTCTCTTACTTTGCCAATCCCTGCTGTATAAAGCAAGCAACAGTGAGGCTACTAGAATTCCACGTGACTTGTGTTATGTTAGGGATTTAAGTGGATTTATAGTGCCAGAGAGAAGAGCTGGCTTGACAGCCCTGTAGGTCCAAACTTCTTTATTTACCCACAGATCAGGGTATACACAGCATGGGTAGCAGCTGTGCAAGCTTCTCTCACAATGCCATCAGGCAGTTTTGGAGGGACCATTTCCGGGGACAAAAAGGTAGTTCAGTCCCCATGACTGACTTAGTCTCTGGCCTATGTAATCTCAAGTATTTCTGGAGAACCCACCATCATAATACCTAAGCCTTCTCCAGACTTAACAGGAAGATCATACCAGCTGCAGCCTCAATGTTATTAGCACTGGCTTTAAGTAACTGAGCTAACCAGTCAAGCAACCCGCCTCTCTGAGATTGGCACCCTTATTGGGAATACAGGCACAATCATCTGCTAGGTGCAGAAATAAGGCCACCAACTCATCACACATAGATCAACAAAACGCCAGCAGATGATAAAGCTTAGGCACTACCAACATGGGCAGGTTCCAAACTGGGATAGAGATGAAAGGCTACAGAACAGATAACCAATCCCCTAAACCATGAGCAGCGGGTATAATAGGCCAGGAGAGGCTCTGCCTGCCCTGGCGCTACCGCTGGACCTCCAGTTGCCGGTTTTGGCAGTTTCCACGTCCACAGGAGGACTTTTTATTATGTGCTATGCAGGTTCCGGGGTGGCTGAGGAGGCCCCGGCACCTGCATGGTGCATATGAAGCTGAGAGGCAGCTCCAACCCACCCGCCGCTGCCTGGCTGCTCTTCTCCTCCCCAGTGGCCTCCCCACTGCCAGTGACAGTCTTCCCTCCCCAGGATCTGGACGCCTTTCTGTCCTCAGACAGGTACATTGGCCTCTGTGCACCATGCCCCCTTAATGTGGGGAGATGAAGCTGCCCCTGCCCAGAGGACATGGAGCCCCCAAGGGGCAGGTTCCAGGGCAGGGGGGCTGCAGTGCAATGGGATTGGCGCCTCGCTAGGACCCGTGAGGAGCTGGCTGGGAAGAATGGCTGGACTCCCTGCCTCCCGGCAGCAGCAGCAGGAAGTGATTGTGAATTGCACTCCCACCCTGCTGTGTGCAGTGACTCGGGATCACAGGCTCCTTGCCAGGTCCCTGAGCCCTGGCTGCAGCTGGGAGCGGTGAATCTTGAGCAGTAACATTCCTGCTGCTCCCCAGTGCAGAGACCTCAGCCTAGCTAGGGCACCCGTTCCTTGGACCTAGCCCCTGCCCCCAGGGAGGGCACCACTTGGATGGACGGTAAAAGAGACCCCCACCCCGTGCCTCCCGGTTCTACCCTGGCTGCAGGGGGAGGGTTTGGCCCCAGGCTGCTCCCAGCTGGGCTTGCTGCAATTCCCTCCCCTGTGGCCCGGAAAGCTGCCTCCAGGCCAGCTCCCATTCTCTGCAGGGTGTGTGAAGCCAGCCTGTGGTGTGCTGAGGGCTGGGACAGTGACGCGTGGGGGAACAGAGACGGGAGAGAGTGCAGCTGCAAGGGAGCGCTGTGCTCCTTCTGCGCACACATGGGGTTACTTGCATGCCCCTCGCCTCAGCTATACCTGCAGACGTGCACGCCACTCCTCTGCACCATCAGTGCAGTCTTGTACATGCCTGCCTGCCTCCCTACCATCTGAGTGTTACTCATTACTTGCTACGAGATCAGAGCACTAACGGCTTGGACAGCGCAGTGCAGTATTTGTGCACAATTACCCTTCCTGTGCCATTTAAAGCAAGAAACCGATAATGGTCCTTTCTCACAGTTTTACCGCCCCGCCCAACACCCCCCATGTCTATTAGGAGAGTGGCTTTATTGGGTTAGGGGAAGGAGGAGACTCTAACTGAAGAGATTACTCCTAGGTATCAGAGTTTTCCTGAGGAGCCTTTAATTTCCTCCACCAAACCCCCTTGCTCTGAATCTAAAGGAAAAGTTGCTGCTGCTTTTCAAAGTGGTATTCTTGAGCCTTCTCCGTTTATGGGGCTTATATTGCACTCTGTGTGCTCTGAAGCAGGGCAGCCCAGTGTACCTCTTGCAGGGGCAATCCACATAACAGCTGTTCAAGGGTGTGGGCAAGAGGGAATTGAAGGGGAAACAGGGATGTGTGAAGGGGCAGGAGGCGGGTGAAGGGAGATGCAGGGAGCAGGATGGAATGGGGGGTGGGGGCAATGGGTACACTGCATGGAGGATGGGGCAATACAGGGGAATCAGGGGGAGAATTGTGGAGCTCTGGTAGGAGGAGGGATGTGGGGGGAAGGTGAGCAGAGGTGGGAGGGGAAGGAGAGGAGGGACCAGCAAGTGGGGAGGAGGCAGGGCCTGGGACAGAGCGGGAGTGGAGCGTGGGCGGGACCATAGGTGGAAGAGGTGGGAGGGACGCGCTAGCCTCCCCAAGGGGAAGCGTCATGTGCCGCCCAGGTCCTGAACCATCCAGCTCACATTTGTTTTGTTGTCATTTTAACTACAGAGAATATTAGACAAGGGAGAAGGTCAGTTCCATGCAACACCCACCTTCTGTAACCTTGCCACTTTCTCATAGCACCCATCCAACTCCTGCCGTAAGGATCGGTTCTCCTCCGACAGGATCTCCACCATCTGCTGGGCCCTGGAAACAATGGCAAAAGGATCTACTTGCATCTGCTGATAAGGAGAAGGTATCTGCTGAGCTCTTGGCATTAATGTGTAGGAATCTCCTTGCTGCTGTTGCTGCTGGCCTAGACCGGGCTGGCATAGTCGGTAGAAATCTCCCTGATGGACCTGGTTTGACAGGAACAGCTGCTGGGTCCGTGGTAGAAAGCATGGGTCTCCCTGATTTGGAGTCAGGGGTTGCTGATGCTGAGAAGGAGACAATCTGGATGGTGGTGGAGACTGCAGTAAGGTCAAAGATCCCAAGGACGTTAAGGAGGAAGTTGGGCTGTGATGGTGAGGGGGTCTCTGCTGTAACTGCAGGTGTAGATCAGGGTTTTGCCTGTAAAACAATAAGAGCAAATTCAGCTGAAGTTCTGCAGAGCATCACACATCAACCAAATCGTATGGCAGGTGCCGAATACAAGTACATGTAACAGCTGCTACTGGCAGGATGGATGTTCCATGCATAAGACTTTAATGCAAATATGTTAAGTATGAAAAAACATATAAAGAAGCGCTTCAAAACCACTAACCAGCTGTGTGGAAAAAAATCCCAAACATAACGACTGTCCTAAGCTCATGAGTACGTTTGTACAGAGATGGCATAAGAAACTACCTTGAAATCCACTCTGTCAACCACTCCAGAATAGCACTATTGTAATTCAGAATACACTGGCAATATAGTTATTAAAAATCAAATCGGCACTGTTGAAAGAGGAGAACTATTTTATGTGTTTACACTTTTCCTCACTTTACATGGATAAAATATTAAACAAAGGACAGTTGAGCCAGTCCTGTACTGAATTGCATAGGCTCCGTTGCAAAGGTCCTGCCAACAATGAATATCCTGCTGCAATTCAGGATACAGATTTAAAAGGAACAGGCTACGGTCTTATTTATTACTGTGCCAGCTGCTGCTGGCTCAAGTACACTGAAATACCCACTAATGAGCCACAGCACTGCCAGCGGAGAGAGTTAAAAGGAGGTGATAGCCAGCCTGACAGTTGGGATCAGAATTTGGGTCCAGAACCTTCCTCAGTCCCAGCTCAACAGGTATTTTACAGATCATGTCTGTACCCGATATGCAGAGGGTGAGAGTCTGTCACAGATCTGCCTAAACAACTTTAACTCAAGCTGTAGCAGCTCATGCATGCAGCTCTGGAGGTCCCCAGCTCACATCCTGGTGTGTTGGTCAAGATGGCGGTTGTCACTTGAGCACTTCATATATCTAATAGACTGCTGCTCAGCCTTAGGGAAAGGAGTGTCAGAGCTCTTCCCTCCAGAGACTCCCTCTGGTTGATGTGTGGAACAGCACTGTCAGCCTGCATGGGGAGCCACGGCCAGCCCTGGAGGAAAAAAACTCTCATACTGTTGTGGGAAGGAGCAAAAGATGAGGAAACATGAGGATCTCTCTCTCCCCATCCCACCATACACTTTCCACGCACATATGCCCACCTCCTTTAAAAAAAGTTCAATTTGGTGAAGTTCTGAGGACACTTTTTATTTAACAGCCTAGTTCTCTAAACAGTGTCCAATCCCTTCCTAAAAGTTATCCTGGTACAGGAAAAGTTTGGTATTTCCCATTCTGTAAAACATTCCTGTTCTTCTGCTGTAACTTCTTAACCCTTTGGCTGCTGCTCAAACTTACAGGTGGAATGCACTCGCAACCCTGCATCAGGTATGGCCAGGAGGAATGACACCTATTGTGCTGCTCTGCACTACTGAACATACCAAGTACATCCGGTGGAATACACCTACTGGGCTGCTCTGCCGAACGCACCAGGGACGTTAGGTGGAACACACCTGCTGCACTGCAGAATTCCCCAGGTACATCCTTCCATTCCATCCAGCAAAACATTAATTAATGATTTCAAGTGCTTAAGTGGATTAGTAGCTAAAGGGTTACATGAAATATTTGTCAGAGGATGTTTGAGCACTTAGAATCGTCTTCCTGTACTGTACAAAAGCTCATGCATCATTTTTTCATACACATCCAAAGAGGAAACATCTGCGTTAATCACATCTTGTTAGCAAGATATTTTAGAGGTCATATATTCTGAGCTTCTGCATGGGATATACTACCTCGGGTTACATGTCCTATGCCTTATTTAACATAAATGCCTGCCACTGTATCCAACATGTGGTTGTTACTTTTAACTGGCCTTCTTCTGGTCAAAGCCACCCCTGTTTACATGGACCAAGTTACATCTGTTGTCTCTCATTACTAGGAACATAGGGTAGAAATCCCCACTCTGGCTCTCACGTTCCCTAGCAGGCTAACAAACGCAGCCAGAGAGGTAACTCACTGTCACTTCAGAAAAACTAAGTACTGGTCTGGTTATTGTCCATATCATTACTACCCTCTAATGACTGTGGTACTTACTGATTGCTAGCAACATTATTTCAATGAATGCATTTCCCTAGGAAAGATCAGATGCAGCATGTGGTTTTCAGGGATTGGGGGAAGAAAGAGAAGATGTGCAATTAATTTCCTCAGCAATGTTCAGCTCAGAAGTAACATCTGGTTATTTCTCTACTGGGAGGTCACTGCTTTAAATTTTTCTTTTAACCCAATAGTGGAGACTGAGGCAAAAAGGTCAAGAGACTTGCTCAAGGTCAATGCTTCAACCAGGAGAGGAATCTGAGTCTTCCTGACACCCAACCCTTTCCTCTAACCATAAAACCTAAAAGAGAACCTGCCCCTAACATTCCACCTTAAATGGCCACAAATGTCTCACAGAAACCTCTGAAAAAATATCCCAATTAGAAAAAATTCTGCAGATGAAGCTAATCTTGAGCTATTTTATTAAATCATCAAGGAAAGTTACATGAAAAGTTAGACTTTTGCTTCTTCAGAATTCACTGGCTCCTGGAGTTTATTCCCAAATGACATCATAATCCTCTGTGTGATGTCAATCATTTCCATAATAACCTGACCATGATGTCAAACACAGCACTATGTTGACCGACAGTGGTCCCATCCGTTTCTGCATGAATTTACATTTTAAATAAATAAGTTTCCAACCCTTATGTTTCCAAGAAAACCTTCCAGACATGAACTGATGTACCCTCTGTCCGAGTATGCAGCAGACAGCCTGAAGCAATAACCAACACAGGTCAAATGCCTCCATTAATCTAAATGGTTTGTTAACAAACACTGTAAGCCTAAGAAGGATCATTTAAATGTCAACATTATTTACTACTTCAATACAGATCATTTTAGTGGAAGTATTTTGTTACTCTGCAATGGTGAGTAAAGTTTGGGAAGAGTATTACTCTTGTGACAGTGTACCCCATAAGGCTTTATGGGGAGGGGGTGCTTATAAATGTATGTATGACATAACTGGAATATGTTTTGTGCTGCCTGTGCCATGTAATATATCTCCGTAAAGGTTATGGTCTACTATATCTATTCATCCTACTTGTACATATATATCATTTTCTACTTGAGGTTAAGAATATGGGCTGTATGCTTGCTTGGTTTCTAAGTAAGCTTTGGGAGGCATTTGGTCAGCTTCTTTAGGAAAAAGAACAGGAGTACTTGTGGCACCTTAGAGACTAACAAATTTATTAGAGCATAAGCTTTCGTGGGCTACAGCCCACTTCTTCGGATGCATATAGGATGGAACATATATTGAGGAGATATATATACACACACATACAGAGAGCATGAACGGGTGGGAGTTGTCTTACCAACTCTGAGAGGCCAATTAAGTAAGTGAAAAAAAACTTTTGAAGTGATAATCAAGATAGCCCAGTACAGACAGTTTGATAAGAAGTGTGAGAATACTTAAAAGGGGAGATAGATTCAATGTTTGTAATGGCTCAGCCATTCCCAGTCCTTATTCAATCCTAAATTGATCGTATCTAGTTTGCATATCAATTCCAGCTCAGCAGTCTCTCGTTGGAGTCTGTTTTTGAAGTTTTTCTGTTGTAAGATAGCCACCCGCAGGTCTGTCATTGAATGACCAGACAGGTTAAAGTGTTCTCCCACTGATTTTTGAGTATTAGGATTCCTGATGTCAGATTTGTGTCAATTAATTCTTTTGCGTAGAGATTGTCCAGGTTAGCTGTGACATTATCGGGGATACTGTTCCTGATAGCTTGTAGTCCATCTTTGTGTGTATTCCACTACAAGCTATCAGGAACAGTATCCCCGATAATGTCACAGCTAACCTGGTGGCTGAACTTTGGGACTTTGTCCTCACCCACAACTATTTCACATTTGGGGACAATATATACCTTCAAGTCAGCGGCACTGCTATGGGTACCCGCATGGCCCCACAGTATGCCAACATTTTTATGGCTGACTTAGAACAACGCTTTCTTAGCTCTCGTCCCCTAATGCCCCTACTCTACTTGCGCTATATTGATGACATCTTCATCATCTGGACCCATGGAAAAGAAGTCCTTGAGGAATTCCACCATGATTTCAATAATTTCCATCCCACCATCAACCTCAGCCTAGATCAATCCACACAAGCGGTCCATTTCCTGGACACTACTGTGCTAATAAGCGACGGTCACATAAATACCACCCTATACCGGAAACCTACTGACCGCTACACTTACCTACATGCCTCCAGCTTCCATCCAGGACACACCACACGATCCATTGTCTACAGCCAAGCTCTAAGATATAACTGCATTTGCTCCAATCCCTCAGACAGAGACAAGCACCTACAAGATCTCTATCAAGCATTCTTAAAACTACAATACCCACCTGCTGAAGTGAAAAAACAGATTGACAGAGCCAGACGAGTACCCAGAAGTCACCTCCTACAAGACAGGCCCAACAAAGAAAATAACAGAACACCACTAGCTGTCACCTTCAGCCCCCAACTAAAACCTCTCCAGCGCATCATCAAAGATCTACAACCTATCCTGAAAGATGATCCCTCACTCTCACAGATCTTGGGAGACAGACCTGTCCTCGCTTACAGACAACCGCCCAACCTAAAGCAAATACTCACACATCGCTGAACAAAAACACTGACCCAGGAACCTATCCTTGTAACAAAGCCCGATGCCAACTCTGTCCACATATCTATTCAAGTGACATCATCATAGGACCTAATCACATCAGCCATACCATCAGGGGCTTGTTCACCTGCACATCTACCAATGTGATATATGCCATCATGTGCCAGCAATGCCCCTCTGCCATGTACATTGGCCAAACCAGACAGTCTCTACGCAAAAGAATTAATGGACATAAATCTGACATCAGGAATCATAATACTCAAAAACCAGTGGGAGAACACTTTAACCTGTCTGGTCATTCAATGACAGACCTGCGGGTGGCTATCTTACAACAGAAAAACTTCAAAAACAGACTCC